GTAGGGGGCTGGGGCGGACGCCGACGGAGCCCCGCCCCCGCCCCCGCCCCCGCCCGCGGGCGGCGGGACGCCTTCCGGCCTCGCCACCATGTGGACGAAGTGGCCGTTCTCCACCTTGTAGGCGCTGAGGGGGTCCGCATCGGCCAGCACTTTCCCTCGGTAGATGAGGCGTTGTCGCGCCTGGGGGGGACGCGTCATTCGAGAGCCAAAGAGTGTGCCGAACAAACGAACGAGACGAGGAGAAGGAGAGGTGTGTGCGTGCTTGAGGAGGGGTGGGGTGGTTGTTACGATACAACTACGATGAAAAGTGACACTCGGGAGGGGGGGCGGCAAAAGCAGCTGGTGCGTACTACGTGGCCTGTACGATGGTCGGTCGGCGGCGGCCTTCAGAGGACCGTTGCTTGTTGAGGCAGGGGCGACAAAGAAAACGTGGTGATCGACAACAAAGAACAACAGCTCGTGTCCCGCGATGATACCTTTGGGACAAACATCGGACTAGGGCGAACTCGCTACTCATCGCTTTTTCTGATTGACGAGGAGGCGCGAATAGCGTGCAAGTACGAGGACGAAAAACAGCAAGCAACTCGTGCTGGCGAGGACATTTTCAAAGCCCACGCCACTGCTGTCTTTTCCTGCACCTACCGTCATTGACATACGCCCTCGCTCTGTAAGCGAGAGTGCAAAAGGACGCGTTCGCTTTAAAGCGGCATCGTCGTTAACTCCCTTGTGTCGTACAGAGCATGGAACGAGTAAGTCCGCCGCACGCCCCCCACGATGTACGCTCCGCGAACCTGCAGACGGCGCGGTCTGCGTGCTACTACTACCAGGTTGCGTCCGTGGAGAGCAGGACAGACGACAGCAGGGCGAGGATTTGCAAAGGCGCAAGTCGAAAACGCCTTGCAGAAAAAGGAACAAGATGGTAGCACGGGCCGAAGTCCAGGCACAAGCAAGTGCTGTGACAGCACCGTGCCTGCGTCCGCAGGTCTGCCCGTGCTACCATCTTGGCCATTTTCTACAAGACGTGCTCGACTCGTACACCCCTGTCTAACTAATCCCACAAAAGTGCGTTACCCGTTCCATGGTATCGTTCTTCATGTTTAGGTCGTCTTTCTTGTTCTTGAGCACGGAAACGACCGGAACAAGGGGGCGCGGACAAATGCACCGCGTATTCTGGGCAGGCAACAACCATCATCACTGCCTTTGGAAACGCATGAAACCCGCGCTACTACTTACGTCGTCGGTACCATGTTCGACTTGGGGTGTTGTGTTTTTGCTCAAGGGCAGCATGCGGGCTCCACGGCAACCAAATATGTACTCTGTCGCGTGAAGACGGTGGTCGGTCTAACACACACGGTACCCCGCGAGCAGCAGGAAATCAGGGCTGGCAACGTGGTCTCTTGCTTCTCGCACATGCGGAGGTGCTCACAAGTTGTCCCTCTGCGGTGGGCTCAAGCACAGAAGGGGTGATGCAAGATAAAAAATCAAAGCGGGCAGCAGGACCAATCCACATCTGGCTGCCAGCCGTGGCGTTGCCCAAGCTCGAACAGCTCACGAAGCTGACGTGTGATCGACCGGAACAGCCCAGCAAACCTCACCCAACCAAAGGGAGGAAATTACATTACTGTACAGTCTTGTTCAACGCTTCACCCCAACAACTGTGGTATTTACAGTTTTTTTCAGGTGCACCAGCGATCGTCGTCTCGTGAGAGGGGGGAACATCCCACTTCCGTCCTATCATAGGGACGGCGAGGACTTCAAAAAGAAGACAGCAGACTGCACGTAGAGAATCATCGGGACTCTCTTCAGACATTGCGTCAGATAATTGCACGGAGTTACAGGGACAACAAAAAAAGCACCTTCTGCACGTAGAGGAACACCGAGGTTCCCTTCAGACACGGCGTCAGCGAATCGTAACCGTAACTTTATCTTGGAGTTCATGGGGCACATAAAAAAAAACGTTCGGCGTTGAGAAACAACGGGATTCCCTTCTGATATTGTGTCAGATAATTGTACCCATGGCGTTGTCTCGGAGTTGTGGTACAAATAAAAACAGCAGATTTTAGGAACCGACACTATCTTGTGGCATTGCGTCGTCAGCGAACTGCAACCATGGCTGCGTGTCGGGGTTGTTCCGTGCCCTGGGTCGCAGGCGCCGGCTGTTTCCGTAAATTAGTATTGTCTCAAGACCTCCATAACGCAAGCGCTTGGCAAAGTCGACGGGGCATGTGCCGTAGGGTGCGTAAGATATCACACACCCCGGACCGATTTCAAAGCTCGATTTCTCCACGACGAAGAGGATGCCGAAACCAATTGATGTTTTTCGGAAAGCTCTTGAACGCAGCGGTTCCAACGCCGCCATTTTCGTCACCGTCGCTGGATTTCGTGCCGAATGATCAAGCTTCGAAAACCGGTATAGGGGGCGTGATATCTTGCGCAACCTATGCATACGGTAACATGATGTCATCGTACCAATGATCCACACACGGGGGGGGGGCACCTTCGTGTTATTCTCGTGGTACATTGTGCTACATATCCACTACACCCGGAATGTCCTCGCGTGCACGTATCAACACCTTTAAATCCGATATCAGTGTAGTGTGCTACGCATATCACGAACGGCCTCTCGACACGTGTCTGTTCGATTGCCCCTCTACCGGTCCCCGTCTCAACTTCAGAGCAGAAACGATATGACTTCTGCGGGTGCAACACTGACGTGAGTCGAACCACCGACCTGCGCGTTTATTGCAACACTACCAGTGGGACATACGATCATGATGGCATACCAACTCTGTTTACCACTACGAACAGAAATGGTATCGTGCCTTTTATTTAGCCCATAGTTCGTGCGGACGGGTAAATGTTGCTGTTGCAACAACAAGGGCAGGTCGGTGGTTAGGCTGAAGTCGGCGTTGCACCCGGGAGAAATATTTTGTTTGAGAAAAAAAAGGAGTGCTTGTACCGACCCTCCTTCTGCGCTTAGAGCCCTACCGAAAACAAACACCGAATCACGAAATCGCCAGATACCAAGTGGGCGATACATCGGAGTACTGCTGGAGTTGGGCGTGTTGTGTTTTCGTATCGGGTATTTTCGGTTTCGGGGACACAATAACGTGGTATCACTATTGCTATCGATCACCCCACCCACCTCATCCACGTTGGTCTGCTGCCGGACCTTGGTCTTGAGCTCCGACACCAGCTCATCGCGGGCAACGGCCAGCTCGAAGTCGGGGCCGTTCAGAGTCTTGATGTTAACCGTCACGGCCCCGGCGGCTGCCGCTGCCGCCGCTGCTGCTTCAGCGCCGTCGCTACCATTCGCAGCATTATTCTCCTCCTCCAGGGGCGGCGGAGCGTCATCGACCGCCGCCGTCGGCAAGCCGCCGTCTGCCACTGCCGGAGCAGTCACGCCCGCGTCGTCAGCCATTGGCACGCTCAAGTCTGTCCGCAACAGATGTAACCGCTACCAAAAAAGCCAAAGAGGCCGCCCCCTTCTTGGTAGGTCTTCACACAAGAGAAGACGCGGCGGGGCTCCCGCGCGTGGTGTTGCTGTTCGGAGGGCGAGAGATACGCAACGGAGATAGGGGGGGGGNNNGGGGGGGGGGCGGGGGGGCAAAGTGAGCGAACACGTGTTCATCTAATTATAGAACACGGGTGAACCGATTGCGTGTCCCGCTGCTGCGGTTTGGTATGTTTTCCTTCCTTCCATTGCCCGTGTAACGTCATACATTACGCTTTCATTTACATCGTTGTGACAGCATGAAATGTCTACTTTCGGAATCGGAAATGCACAATGGGAAGGCGGGGGGGGGG